GTTTGTGTTTGAAATCAGGGCACTCTGTGATGTAGGTCCCAAGAGTGGAAAAGACTCTGAAATTCTGGATTGTTTGACAATTTAGTCTCCTGGAATGATTACCTGTGAATGTGTAGCTCTGTCCACTGCACAGTGGTTGGTGAAGGAGTACTGGTGTGCAAATCTGCTGGGTGGTGTTGCTGGTCTCCAGGTGGACTGGTGCAGTTTGGGAGCTCCTGGGAGCTCTGACTTGGTACCTCCTGTGAGAGTAGGGACATTCCTTCCCTCTCAAGGAAAGAATTCCTCCTTCCCATTCCTTCCTTCTTCAAGGAACACAGCTCCCAGTGTCTATGAAACCTCCCTGAGATTCAGATGACCAAAGCAGCTGATGGAGCTACTGAAAGTGGCAGAGGTGTATGAGGAGGTGTCCAGGTGAGGACAGACAAGACAGAGTCACTACATTGGCTCGATCACTCCCATTGCAGTTTGCTGAAATGTGGGTGAACCAAACTCTTCCTCTCCACCTTCTTCTATCACTCAACATGCAGACTGTCTCTGAGCTGCATTAATTCACCAACACAACCAAAAAACACTTGCTCAGCAAAAAACCCTGGGGAGTATTCTGCTCTTTTGTGCCTTAAGCTGTGGAAGGACCTGATTAGGTTCAGAGAAAGGAGTGTGCCCTTCGATGCCACGAGCATTGGATGAGCTCAGTCACCTGTTAAACTGCCCTCAAACTTTACATCTCTGTTGTGTGAAAACCTTTTCCAGTTTGGCTCTACAGAAAACACCTTGTTACGTGTTAATTATAATTATGTGCTCTCTGAGCCATAGGAGCAGTAAGGAGCAAATGTCACAATACACCTTCTGGTCACAGCAGCTGTTGGTTTTCTTTCTGTAGTTGAAAAAGGAGGGACTTGACATCCAAACACTGGGAAAAGAGTCCTTGGGGGTTGTAGGAACACTGGATAGGATCTGCACAGCAGAGGAGGTTTTCTCCTTGGTTCATCTTGTGACGTAAGTTGATCTCTAGGAGTTAAGAATTGTCTTAAGTGTTGCCATCAGTAGCACCACTTAGAACTTTTGGTGTCTGATATTTAGTGCCATGACTGAAAACAGGACTGGAAGCATCAAAGCTCTGTGATACTGAGACAAGAAACTGCTGCTGATGGATAAGGACAAACTTGTGGCAGTTAACAGAACTGTGCTTTGATTCTGTGGGATAATTGCTTTGTAAAAATGGTTGTTAATCCACATTCTCCATGGGCTCCACAGTCTCTAACACCCTCTGCTCCCTCTTCTCTTGTTAGCTCTGCTCACATTGTCTTTAATTCCTTCCATGCCTGATTTTTACTTGGCTTTTGGCACACAAACCCACGTCGCCTCTGAAATCTTTGAGCACTTTACATTAAGAACCTTTTACTCCCTTAATATTTCTTTGAGGAGCATCCATTAAGCAGCTGAGAAAGCACAGTTGTGTGTTGCTGTCCCCAGGGTGCCATCTGGGGGCTCCTCCTGAGCCCCAGTAATGCCTATCCCCATGGAAATGGAGCAGCACACCCTGTGCTTACTCTCTCGTTTTAAAGATGTGCAGCTGCTGTCGTAGAGATGTAGAACTTTGAACAGGTTGAGTGTTCCCCAAATGCATAAAGCTGTTCCATGGCAGGAGTTGGGTCCTACAGAACTGCCTGAAGAGCTGGGAGAGAGTTGTACCTGCAAATTGAGCTGCTCCATGTGTTGGTTGCTTTGCTAAGCCCTGTGCAATAAGCAGGACACACTTCTCTGTTCTGGTCTCTTGTCTGTTTCTCTAGAGCTTGTTCCACTTGAAAGTCAAACTCAAGATGATTGGAATGGATTCCTCTTCTTAACTGCTTCCTTTTTTTTGAGAGGGTTTATATGCTGTGCTTGGGTACCTGAGGTGTGGGTTAGTAAGTCCGTGGCAGGCAGTTGGGAGTTATGGATTCCTCACCACGTGTGCACAATAGTGTCTCCCTTTCTCCACAAATACCTTGGAAACTACATTCCAAATGTCTTAGGAATTTGCACTGTGCTCAAGTGGCTTTAATCTGCACTGAGCTTATCAGTGTGGCCTCCAGGGCAGATGTCCTTGGTTCTAGAGCACTTCATAAACACTAGGGTTATTAAAAAAAAAAAAAAAAAGGTTAGAAATACTGTTATAAAATCTCTACCTCCTGGATATTTTGACAGTGATCTTTCTGACCTCTTGCAGCAGAATTGCTTCTTACATCTTTGCCTCCAGGCACACTGTGAGTGTTTAAGGGGCAGAAGGTGAGGTGAGATTGGCACAGGTTGCCCAGAGCAGCTGTGGCTGCTCCATCCCTGGGAGTGTTCCAGGCCAGGTTGGATGGGGCTTGGAACAACCTGGGCTGGTGGGAGGTGTCCTGGGTGGGACTAGGTGACCCAAACCCTCCTGTGGTTCTTTAAAGTGTTCCAAAAATCATCTTTTTGCCGTGGGTGTCTCCTGGGGGTTCATGGTAAACTCTCTGTAGTGGGGTTTGAAATGCAGAGGGAGAAGTAAGAATGTCTCCTTGAATGGATGTTGAACAAGCCTGTTTAGACAGGACTTTTCTGCTGCCTCCAGTCATCCTTAGTTAGCATCAGCTCCTACCTGGGGAAACAGCTGTCTAGGATGGATTTGTAAGAGTGTAGCTGCATAATTACCAAATCATCGGTGTGTTTAGCTGAGGAGTGTTAAAGTAGATGTTGACAGATTGGTCTGTCACAACTTCCTGGTTAATTAATAGCAGTGATGAGTGATGGGGGGGAGTTGCACATGCTTCCACTGCTACTTTGTCTTTTTGATTTCTGATTGCCTGGGGGAAACATCTCCTAGGACTTGGTGTACAAGGAGACAGCTGCCTCAGCTCCACAAAAATACTTCATTTTGCAGGTTCTCTGTGTAATCTTGTGGGTGGTTTTGGTCCAGCTGTTTGGGGGAAGGTGAGAGAGATCTCTAGTGCTCACCAAACTGTGTCAGTGTGTGCAGGGAAGGGAAGGAGGGCAGGAGGCACTTCAAAGCTCATCTTTGGAGTATGATGGAAGTAATAACAAATTCCACTGTGCTCCTGGCACAGATACGGAAACTTTGTGGCATCTTTTGTTTCTCTTTTTAGAAATACAAAGTCAACAGCAAGGCAGACCCAGCACTTCTACTGGTTTGTGTGACCTAGAGTTCTTGTAGTGAAATCTTGTTGCCTTTCCAGGTACACTGCGAGTATGGGATGGTCCATGTCCTGTCGGAGAAGGGGAGCAGCAAAGGCAAAGATTACTGCATCCTCTTCAACTCCCAGTGGGCCCATCTGCCCCATGACCTGGGGAAAGCTGTGAGTACCTAAGCTTACCTAACACTTGGACAGCCAGGAAATATGTGCAGGGCTGTTTTGCTGTTCCTGATGCAGGAGCCAGGCTGGAAACAGCAGTTTGCTGGGTATGGTTGGACTTACTGCCAGCCTGACCCTTACCTTGCCCTCCTGAAACAGTGGAGTCTGTGCTACAGCTGTTTGGGACTGTGTTGTGTATCTGTGCATTTTTGACACAAAACATTCCAGAGGGCAATTTTTCCAGTTAGAACTTTACCCTGACATTTCTCAGACCTAGAGCTCCCCTCCAACCAGAGCTGGGACCTGCTCCTGTTGGCACAGCTCAGCTGTTCAGGAGACAACTGCAGTTTCAGGTGACCTGTAAATAGAACAGGGCAAAGCTGCTGGTGTTTGTTTAGGTTTTGCAAGGAACAGTTTGTGCCAGTGTTGTTTCTAAACCACTTCAAGTCTTTGGTGTTCAAACACACCAGCGTAGATGTTTTTTTGGATCTGAGAAGGGCCAAAACTGAGCAACTGGGGCAGCCCTGCCACAGCTCTGCACTGCAGACAGGGAGAGAAGCAGCTTAGAATCAGTACCCAAGTGCTTAGGGCACAAAATCTCAGCTCACGTGGTTTCGGTGTGGAGGTTTATTTTTACTGCCTGTGCTTTTGTGCTTCCCCCAGCCTGTGCTTGGGCTCCTAGCTGTGCATACCCTGCACCATCCCAGCCTGCCTCGCTGCCTCCCCTGCAGGGCTGACAGTGGCTGTGCTCCTCCCACAGCCTGGCTGTGTGCATCGGGGCAGCAGTGCTGCTGGAGGCAGCAGATGCAGCTGCAGGTCACAGCCAGTTTTACCACCAGCACAGCTCTGTTCAGGAGGTGAAGCCAGGCAGGACCCACACAACACAGGGCAGCACTGCCCCAGCTTTCCTGCTGCTCTGCAATACTCTCATTCCATTCCTTGAAAGGTTTAAATTTAGGAACTCTGTGGTTTCTGCTCTTGGCTTTTATCATTTGCTGTTCTCTATATGTGTTTAACTAATGTATTGCTTCTCAGTCCCTCTTGCAGCTGCAGGATCAGACAGCAAGTGTTTTGTGTTCTCCCTCTGATGTGCCTGACGGGGGATTTAATAATCAGATCCCCATGGTGATGAGAGGAAACTGCACCTTCTATGAGAAAGTGAGGCTGGCTCAGATCAATGGAGCTCGTGGGCTGCTCATTGTCAGCAGAGAGAGACTGGTGAGCCTCTTTTCCTCTGTCTCTGCTGCTCAGCTGATGTTAGATGTTGTCTTGTCTTTGCTGTGCATTGCTGGTGTCTGATGCTCCTCTCCGAAATAAATTGTGTGTGTGCACTGCATGGTGATGTGTGGAAGTCACACCTGGAGGAAGGATGAATGAAACAACAAAAGTCACTCATCTTAGCAGGAAGAATCTGCAGAGAGCTCATGTGACATTCAGGTTCAGGGCTCAGAATTCCCCTTTTTCCATGTGAAACACTGGAGCCAAAGGAGGAGTTTCTTGGCTCTGTCATACTTCAGTGAGATCTAGAGCACAAGGAATCCAGTGCTGTAAATTCAACTGGAGCATCACCAGCATTTGACCTGTGAATTTAGTAGTTTGGAAAGTAAAATGGGTAGCTTTGAGTCCTGGTCAATATTCTGTCAGTTATAAAGCCACGACCCTGATGTGCAGAAGGTACTACTGGAAGTTTGGTTGCTGCATTTTGCCTTTCCAGTCTCCTTATCTATATAAACCATGACAATATAACAACTTCTGTGTACTGGGAACAGCCATGCAATTTGACTCTGAGATTTGCTGTCATTACCTTCCCTTCTAGAATATTTTTCAAATTACCAGAAACAGAACTTGCCATTTTTAACCCTTTGGGAGAAGAATTGGCAGAAATAAATATATTCTTACCTACTCTGAACTGTCTTTCAGGTTCCTCCTGGGGGTAACAGGAGTCAGTATGAAGAGATTGATATTCCTGTGGCTCTGCTCAGCTATGCTGATATGTTGGATATTGGCAAGGTGAGGTCTCTGCTCGTGGCTTGGCTGGGTGGACTCTTCCAGGGGTGAAGAAGTGGCTGATGGCCCAGGGAGCTGTGGTGAATCCACATCCAGCTGGGGCTGTCACTAGTGATGTCTCAGTGCTGGGGCAGGTCCTGTTTAACATCTGTGTTGATGATCTGGACCTGGGGATTGAGCACCCTCAGTGAATCTGCAAGGTCTCTCTTCCAACCTTGATGGTTCTGTGATAAAAAAAATGAGAGTATTTAGCATCTCAGGTAAATGAGTCACTGCTCAGCAGCATTTGAAGTCCACCTGAAGAGATGTAGGGAGCTGTGCTCATGGAGATTGCACTAGTGTGTTTGAAAAAACCCTGTGGGGATTTCTCTCTCATCTTTGGAATAAAACCAAACTGGAGCCTGGTGCTGGAGATAGATGTCACTGATAGCAGAGCCAATAGATTGCCCTGAAGTGCAATACAAGTCGATCCTGAGGCTGCTGAGTGAACACTACAGGAGTGAACCTTTGCTGAAGTAGCTTTTGGCATGTTCTTCCTCACTTGTACTTCCCTCCACAGAGCTTTGGCAGCTCAGTGAAAGGAGCAATGTATGCACCCAACGAGCCTGTGCTGGACTACAACATGGTCATCATCTTTGTCATGGCTGTGGGGACTGTGGCAATTGGAGGCTACTGGGCAGGAAGCAGAGATGTGAAAAAGTGAGTCCTCCTGCTTTTCTCACAGAACAGAGTGGCAGCTCTGCACTGAGGTTTGCCTGGTGACCACAGTGGGAAGAGCCCACGGGAGGTGGGAAAGGCTCTGGGTTTTGCCTTGGCTTTGGTCACTGTGGGAAATCCTTAGACTATAAACTGCTTGCAGAGTGGTTCAGTATTTTGTCATGCCAAAAGGCCAAACATTTGGAAAGCTCAGGAAGCAAATGATAAAGTAATAGGTTTCCTGGCTGAGCTTTTGCCAAAATTCACCATAGAAAGAATCAATTTTGCCTTTCTAGCAGAGTGCAAACAGAAGGGAGTAGATGGCTAAGGTGTACTGTGTTTTGTTAGGATTCTAATGCAATGTGGTGGTTCCTTTCTGCCAGGATGGGCTGGGGGAGGAGGTCCTTGTGCCACACTTGTCTCTAACAGTTACTTTATACTTATTTTCCTTACCCATTTCATACACATTTCCTAATTTCTAACACACTCTCTGCACACAACCTGACTTAAGGGTTTCCTCTGAAGTCAGCAAATCATTCCATGGTAATTTTCAGGATTCAGTGGAGTTTTTAGAGAGTGAAGGACAATACTGTAGATAACCCAATGCTGCAGTCAGTGGTTGATGCTTTGCATGGTGTCTGATATTCACACACCCACGGGGATTGTGTCCCACTGACCTGAGTAGGAGCCAGAACAGGGACTGGTGCTGCATCCCAGCCCCATGCAGTTCTGACTGCACCTCTGGGTGTTTTGCTGCAGGAGGAATGAGCTGACTGTGGCCTTGTTACCCTTTCAGGAGGTACATGAAGCACAAACGTGACGATGGGGCAGAGAAACACGACGACGAAACGGTGGATGTGACACCCATCATGATCTGTGTGTTTGTGGTGATGTGCTGCTCCATGCTGGTCCTTCTCTACTTCTTCTATGACCACCTAGGTACTCTCAAGGTTGTATTTGTGTTGGTTCATCCCCAGGATCACCAGGCTGCCAACCTTGAAAGGGCCTTTTTGCTGTGAAAACAGTAATGAAATGTCTCTTCTGTCATGTTTCTTCATCCCAATGTGATTTTAAGCCCTGTAGGAAAACCCACTGAGCAGATTTCTAGACCTACTTTTAGTCAGGTTGGATTAGGTGATTACAGAGCTTCTTTCAAGCATTAAAGCCTATTAAGTAGGTACAGACTTAGTATCTTCCACCCTTTTTTTCTTTGTTAAAGGTGTGGTGAAACCTGTTCATGTCCAGTGTTCAATTTGAAGTGAAGTTATGGGATCCAGGGTCAATTTTTTTTTTACCTTTAGAAATATGATAAAGTCATAGAGATTGTTCAGGGGTTGGAATGGAGCTTAGAGATCATCCAGCCCCAACCCCTGCCCTGGGCAGGGACACCTCCCACCAGAGCAGGTTGCTCAAGGCTTCAGCCAACCTGGAATGAAACACTGCCAGGGTTGGGGCAGCCACAGCCTCCCTGGGCAACCTGTGCCAGTGTCTCACCACCCTCACAGGGAAAACTTCTTCCTGATATCTAACCTAAATTTCCCTCTTTCCATTTCTCCCCATCACTCCTGATGATAAGATGATGATGATCCTAAGTTCCTATTGCTCACTTACCAAACTGTTTGCTAAAAAACCATGAGAGCCAAATGCACTGGAACTTCCACCCTCATATTTCTGAGGAAATTGTGGAAAATGCATCCCACCTGGATTAATTTTCACTGCTGAGTGGCTTTATGCTCCTGTGTCCTCATAATGAGGAGATAAACACTTTGCCATAAGTTGCCTTTTAGGCCTGTGGCTCTGGGGTGTTGGCACAGAGGTTTGATTTGTGGAAGGACTTGGTGCATGTTGTGCATCCAAGGGAAAGGAGCTGGAATGACCTATGCACAAAGCATAAATGTAATCAATAATCAGCTGAAGGCTGAATTTACCTTTCCCTGCTGAGATACAAACCTTACTGCTCATCAGGATTATTGCCTGCTCTTTATTCAACCAAGATATGAGAAAAAACATCTCTGGCCTTATCCTACTTGGACTTAGTCCTCTTTTTTTTTTTTTCCCTCAGTCTATGTTATCATAGGAATATTCTGCCTGGCTGCCTCGATTGGTCTTTACAGTTGTCTGTCTCCCTTTGTCAGAAGATTCCCTTTGGGAAAGTGCAGGTAGGTGGCAACTTCTCCATGTTTAGCAGGCAAATTTAAGTGCTAATGATGTGGGATGGACAAGGTGATTTCATACTTCAAAGGGAGTAACTGCACAGACAACTGGAGCTCTGCTGTGTTTCCGTTGCAGGATCCCAGACAACAACTTGCCTTATTTCCACAAACGTCCCCAGGTGAGGATGTTGCTCCTGGCTGTGTTTTGTGTCGCTGTCAGCATAGTCTGGGGAGTCTTCAGAAATGAAGATCAGTAAGTGTATATTTGAGTTCCTGTCATAAGAACATTCACGTGCTGTATCAGGGAGTTTTCAACCTGCCTCACTGCTCACTCAGCCTGTGCTTCACGGGGCTCTCTGTGAGCATCTCCTGGGACATTCCCAGTGCCAATCCTGCTGTTCTTCCCTCATCTCCCAGGCATGGCTTTGTCAGCCTGATCAGGCTGATCAAGCACAACTTCCCATTTGCAAAGCTGGGCTGACAACAGTGTTGATTTCCCATACTTTGAATAAAGGGGTTTTTTTGTGCCATAGTGAGGACAAGGCTTGCTTTGCCTTTCCTGCTGTTCACAACTGTTCCTCTCCTGTTTTCCAGGTGGGCCTGGGTCCTGCAAGATGCTTTAGGAATTGCTTTCTGCCTCTACATGCTGAAAACGATTCGCCTGCCTACATTTAAGGTAAGAAAGTTAAACAAAGAGAGGATGTTTGTGTGTGCAGCTTAGTAGAGGAGCCACTTCCAGCAGAGCTTGGAATGTGCTGCCATTCATATGGTAAAGAAGGAGGTAATGAGCATAGTGCAGACGAATAAGTGGAATGTGATTGTTTTGTAGAGTGTTGACTACTAGAGAATCACACAACACACACTGTGGGGTTGGGTTTTTGGGTTGGTTGGTTGGTTTTCAAGTCGTCACACAATTAACATATTATTCTGATGGTTTTTCCCAAATCTTTCCAAACTTTATCAGTATCTAAGACAAAAATCAGTGTGAGCCTTAGCAGCTCTTCAAACTCTGTGTCATCTTGACCTCCAAATTTGTGCAGACTGTCAGTATACAGGGGGAGACAGTTCCAAGCTGTGCCAAGTCTCCTCCAGTGCAGAGCTCTGCAGTTTGCTAGGAAACAAGGACTGCACCACTTCCAGGTTTCACCTGATTTTAGGGACTGAGAATTCCTTTCTTTCCTATGCTGCAGGCAAGACCCAGCTCCTCCATCTAGAGCATTTAGGCATGAAGAAAAACACATGGATGACTTGATTTAGTCTTTGCTAGCTCTTCCCTTGAACAGGCTACTAATCATCAATTCCTTGCAGTTTCCTGGTGCCAAGTGTGTGAACACCACGTGTCTTGTCTCTTCCTTCAGGGCTGCACCTTGCTCCTCCTGGTTCTCTTTGTGTATGATGTGTTCTTTGTCTTCATCACACCTTTTCTAACCAAGGTGAGTGAGATGCTGCTCCTGCCCACTGAGCACAGTGTGATGCTCCTCTGTGTACTCCTCAGTGATCCCAGAGCTGCTCAAAGTGCTGATTTACACTTTTCCCCCCTTTTCCTTCAGACTGGGGAGAGCATCATGGTGGAGGTGGCTGCAGGTCCATCTGATTCTGCCACGCACGAGAAGGTACTGTGTGTGGTCTGGGAATCTCACTAACCTCCAGCTCTTGCACTTCCCACTTCTCTAAACCTCAGAAACCACAAAGCAGAACTGGAGGTGGGACAGTCTGGAAATGAGCTCTCCTGAGTGCTTTTTCTGGAAAGCTGCACAGTCAGGGGGCAAAGCAAAACTGGTAGAGCTTCATCACAGCAGCTTTGGGCTCAAACACATCCTGCTAGGTGTCAGTAAAGTTGTGTGGAATATGTATGGTAATAAAAAGGAGATATTTGAGGCTGCAGTTTGAGTACAACAGGAAGAAGTCCTGGTAAGTAGTGTTGGCACTGAGAGAAAACAGCTTTTCATCAGCCATGTCTCTGTCATTCCAAGCTCCCAATGGTCCTGAAGGTTCCACGGCTGAACTCCTCCCCATTGGCCCTGTGTGACAGACCTTTCTCTCTCCTGGGATTTGGAGACATTTTAGTCCCAGGTATTGTGGTTTAGCATGTTAAGAGTTTTACTTGTTGCACTGTCATATTAGTTTATTCCTCTTGTACTTCTGCTTCGTGTGGGGAGTGTGGATAGACCACTATAAGCCTGATAAATCTCTTAGTAGAGCTTGGGGTTTTTTTCTGCACTCTTCATCTTTTCAGTAAGAAATTAGAGGGATATGAATCCTGTGGTTCAGTTACACAGGCAGTAATGTCAAGAAATGAGGAGAAATGGCAAGAATGTACTATAAAATATCTTCAGTAGTGTGGTGAGAGAGGAAGTTATTTGTCCCTTTGCACATGGTTTGAGGACACTCATGTGTGACCACTCAAACCTTCCTGACTCTGTTAGTCACACCACGTCCAGTGTTCCCACCACACCTTCCCACTCCTGACTGGGATGGAGCAGTATCTCTGGCACCACTGCAGGTGGAAACAGCTGTATTTGCTTGCATTTTGGGCAACATGACCTCTGTGATCCCCACTGAATCCTTCCTCCCCCCAGCACTGACCATAACATTCTACTGTCTTCTCCAGGAGCCTGAAGGGATGAACTTACTCTTACTCTCACTGTGGATACTGTAATTTGTGTTCATGATCTGTGTATTTGGAGATGTTCATGTTCCTGTCAGAGCACTTAGAGGGATTGTGTTGCATAGCTGAGCTCTAAGTTGTGCAGACTCCTGAATGATGCTGTGGTGGTACCAAAACAAAAGAAGTGTTGGGGGGGAAAAGCTTCCTAGCTGGTTTGATGGTGTTGTGTATCTTAGTGCCTGACTAAGCTGCAAACCTGTTGTAACTGTCCTTTCCTTTCCTAGGCCTCCTGGTTGCCTATTGCCACAGATTTGACATTCAGGTGCAGTCATCCAGAGTCTACTTTGTGGCCTGCACGATAGGTATGTGTCACCTCAGCATGAGACTCAGTGTTTTCCCTGAAAGGATGTCATCACTTCACATGGCAGAGTTTGGGGGTTTCATCCTTCTCCTCCTGTTGTTATTAACCATGTTCATTCCAGGCTGGATAAACCCTGGAGCAACCTGCTCTGGTGGGAGGTGTCCCTGCCCAGAGCAGGGGTTGGAGCTGAATGATCTCTGAGGTCCATCCCAACCCCTGAACATCCTATGATTCTGTGATTCTGTTTTGCTTCAGGAACTGATTGGATTGCACAGTATGAACTTTGCCAATGCCACTCCTTCCACAACATGTCCTTACCAACAGACTGTAGTATGTAGGTTTACCATGTGTAAATTCTCTCTTAAGAAGCCTGAAAAAGTTCTGGAGATGTTCGTTTTCATAGAATCATCGTAGAATCATAGAATTTAGGGGTTGGGATGGAGCTCAGAGATCATCCAGCCCCAACCCCTGCCCTGGGCAGGGACACCTCCCACCAGAGCAGGTTGCTCAAGGCTTTAGCCAACCTGGAATGAAACACTGCCAGGGTTGGGGCAGCCACAGCCTCCCTGGGCAACCTGTGCCAGTCTCACCACCCTCACAGGAAAAAACTTTTTTCTCACATCCAACTTAGACTTCCCCTCCTTCAGTTTGAACCCATTGCTCCTTGTCCTGCCCCTGCAGTTCCTAACACAGAGTCCCTCTCCAACTCCTTGTAGTCCCTTGCGATAGTGAAAAGTTGCTCTGAGGTCTCCACACAACCTTCTCTTCTCCAGGCTGAACAGCTCCAACTCCCTCAGCCTGTCCTCACAGTGGAGATGCTCCAATCCTCTTAGCAACTTTGTGGCCTCCTCTGGACTTGCTCCAACAGTTCCATGTCGTTCTCATGTTGAGGAGACCAGAACTGTGTGCAGTATCCCAGGTGGGGCCTCACCAGAGCAGAGTAGAGGGGGGAATCCCCTCTTTTCCCCTGCTGCCACACTCCTGTGGCTGCAGCCCAGGATTCCATTGGTTTTACATCTCACTTGAAGAAATCTCTAGCTAACTGTGCTTGAGCCAAGCCGTGTGTGAGTAACTGGGGTGTGCTGGGTTTGTTTTCTTGCAGCATATGGCATAGGCCTCCTTGTGACCTTTGTTGCCTTGGCACTGATGCAGATGGGCCAACCTGCTCTCCTCTACCTGGTGCCCTGCACCCTCCTCACCAGCTTCGCAGTGGCTCTGTGGAGAAGGGAACTTGGCATGTTCTGGACGGGCAGCGGCTTTGCGGTGAATACCAGTTTGATATGAGTGTCTTCAGGAAATGCTAATGTTAGAAAAACCTAACTAGAATTAAAGTTGAGTAAAACATTGCAGTCTTCTCACACCAACACTAAGGTTTTGGGTTGCTTGACTGTTTGCTTTTTTTTTAACCTCCTTTTTTTGCCTCGCTGAGGTTTTCTGGGATTTCTGGTGCTTCTGGCCTAAGTGGCTAGTGAGAAGTAAAGTAGAACTTGTCTGTCCTTGATTCTGCCTTAATTTTGCTTGTTTGGTCTCTGTTGAAAGTATCAGTAGCAGTAAAAGGTTACAACATTCTCTAAAACACTATGATTCGTCCTACTGTATAAAATACATCCTTAAAATATTTTCTCCATCTTTTGCCATAGCTTACTGTTTATGAAGGCAGAAATGTGGCTCAGTGCAGTAAATTATCACTCGTTTCACTGTGCTACAGGTGGAATTAATGTAGAAAGGAATTTCTATCATGGTGCATGATTTTAATGTTGAATAATCACTTGAAGGCCAAATCTATCAAGTTAGAGGTTCCTCCCAGTGAGTTTGGTTTTGTTATTCAGCTGTTTGTGATAACCTCCACGAGTTTTCCTCTAGAGAACTGAATTTAGCTGTCGGAGGAGTATCTGAGATCATCTGAACTGTGATGGCAAAGCTGCCAGTTGTTGTGCACTGACAGTACAGAACCACAGAGTGGCCAAGGACCAAGTGCAGTTTGGCTGCTGCACAGTCAGCAGAGTCTGAGGCTGGTGAGGAACAATCAGGCAGGATAAAAACACTTTTCTGCAAGGAAAAACTCCCCTGCTGTCCTATAAACCACAAAGACAGGATAGCTGTGTGCCTGTGGCCACTCCTGGAGAGAGATAACAGAGCTGAGGGACCTGTAATCCTCCCCTTGGATGACCATCCCTCCTGGTAACTGCACACAGGAGTCGGTTGCCATATTCTCACCGTGATCTTCCGTTTGCAGAAAGACCTACCTCAGCCTCCTGTGGTGATAGCTCCTGTCAACTGCCCGGAGCCTCCCAAAGACAGCAGTGGAGCAGCCTCTCAGCAAGACCCAGAGCAAATGACCAACCCCACTCTCCATGTGGAGGAGCCTCAGGGCCCCAGCTCGGCCGAGGAGGAGCTGCCTGACGCCGGCGCGGCCGCGGAGCAGCCGGAGGGCTCCGCCGCACCGAGCGAGGAACCAGCTGCTCACAACAAGGGAGACCTTGAAAGCAAATGCCTAAATGCAGAGCAAAAGCAGCTGGAATAATGATTTGCTGACTCCTTCCCTGCCATGGCAGACATTTCCATAGAAAACCGGTGTGTATTTAGGACTGGTCTAGTAGTGTTTGCGCTCGTCGAGGAACCTCACTGGGAGTCTGGTCATCAAATCCAAGGAGGAAGGTTGTGCCTCCAGCTCTGGGACAGCTCTGCACATCCAACACCCTCCCAAAACATGGTGCTCTGCAGAAGTTGTGGGGGTGGGCTGCAGCCATCCCCTCGTTAGTGGCTGCCTTTGACCCTCTGCTCCGTTTGCGTTTTACCAGGGTAGATTGGGAGTCCTGATCTGCTCAGTGCTCTGTGCTCGTGTGGCTGTTCTGCTGTTTGCCCTGGGTGTGGGTTGATGTGGACCAGAAGAGTCTGCCACAGTGCTTGATTGACAGAAACATGGGCTGGGTTTTAGCACTTTCCCTGTTGTCACCTTTTACTTTCCTTCTCCTGACTTGTCAAAGCCATTGACGTAAGGGAATGCTTCAGTCTAAAGTGACATTCAGGAGATGCAGAGGGTGGTGAGATGACCATTGCTCTGGAAGGATTTATCCTACCATGGTGCATTAAATGCATCTCTTAACTCTCTTGTCTTTGTTTTGACTTCTAGGTACCTACCTTGGCTACTAGTCTAGGTTAGGGCAGGATGAGTGGAGCTCCAGGAAGCT